CCAAATAAAGAGTTTACGTGCCACATTAAGCTTATGGGCCATACGTTTGTAAATTCCATAAGACAGGAGTAAGTGGTTGGGAACTAAAAATAGCAACAGGTTCTGAAGCATGGAATAGATTATTTATATTAAAAGAGCTCAAGTCTTGGTATTCATTCCCATCTGTAAAGGAAAATATATACTTTTCCTCTCCCCTTCTATTCAATGCCCTCAAACCTAAAATAACTTTTAACCTGCTTCGTCCTTTCTAATTCTTTTTGTAAATATTGGGCTGGGGAATGAACTTGAGGTGTGCTTAGCTGGGCAAATGCTTCAGCTCTCTTAGCCTTCTGAGATGGGGTTGGATCAATGTATCGAAGGTATTAGTAGAAGGTGGAAAGCTGTCTTGAGCCTATTTGCAAGATTTCTTGGATAGATTATAATATATTAATAGTTTATTGGTTAAGGATATTATCCTTAATAACCTTCCTTGCATTTCAGCTTTAAAATATTGATATTCAGAGAGTCTATCAGTCAGTTTTTACTAAGTAATGCTGCAGTAACAAACAACTCCCTAGTCTTAGTGACTTACAACCAAGATATATTTTTCATGCACAGAATCCCATGAAAGCATCTTTGCTCCATGTCATTTAAATTGTATAGCTGTGTCTTTGCTCCATGTCATCTTTGTTCTGAACCCTGGGCTGAAGGAGTACCTCCTCCCAGGCTTCAAAACAATATCATGCTACAATAGAAGGGAGAAAAGAAACCACAGGATGGCTTTTAATGCTCCTGCTCATAAGTAACCTACCTTACTCTCTCTCACGTTTTATTGGTGGCCAAAACAAGTCAGATGGCCAAGCCTAATGCTGATGAGGCAGGAGAAGTATTACCCTCCCCCTGGGAAGGCAATATTTAGGAACAATAAAACAATTACCCACAGAGGGCACTGCCTCAGGGGCTTGGGAAGGAAAATAGAGAGGCTCCCCAACAGCTCCAGTTGGAGAAACAAAGCTAGTACCCAGGCTCCATTCTGATCTTGGTAGGGACCATTGAGGTAATTTGAGTGAAGAGTGGTTAAAGCATGGTTTGTTCAGTCAGACTTCCTGGGTTCAAATCCTGGCTCCAGTATTTCTTGGCTCTAAGACCTTGGATATGTTAATCTTTTTGTGTCTTGTTTTCCTCATGTAAGCACACCTACCTCATAGAGCTGTTGGAAGGATTCAATGAATTAAGAGAGAGAGAGAACATAGAACAGTGTTTGGCACATACTATGTATTGACTATTACTATAGTGATGATGATTAGAAAGCCATCAGCTCAGAATACATCTCAGCCACCTTCTCAGTAGGGCAAGAACCCCTTGTTATAGCTAGATTACTCCAGGTCATTTTGACTTTAAGAATCCCATATTAAAATGCAAGCACTTCTGGGAAGGCTAAAATATTACATCTTTATGAACTAATACCTTGTTGGGGATTACTTTGAGAGTAGGTTCCAGCAGGATGGGATACATAGGAGAGGGTCCTAGAGACAATGAGATTGAGAATACAGATGTTGGGGAACTAGGACCCTTAAATAAACTTGACACACTTGATGGTTTTACCAGCAGCTACTCTAACCAGACCAGTGATTCTTATCCCTGGCTACACATTAGAATCCCCCAGAGATGCCCAGATCATACCCTAGACCATTGATATCAAAATCTGTGGGTGGAATGCAGGACTCGGAACATCTTAAAGCTCTCCAGGTCCTCCCTATATAAAACCAAGGTTGGTGAGCAGAGAAGCAGCCTACCTCCCACAAAGAGCACCTGACTGCCTCCTTCTCAGTCCATACTGCTCTGCCATGGATCTGCGTTAACCCCCATTTCTCCAGATGAACTGACCAAGAGAAGAACGCTTGCTGACAAAGAAGAGCAGGAGATAATGGCCAAAGTCAAACATCTGTCTTTCCTCTCCTCCTGATTGATCACTTTATACAATAATAAAACTTTTAAAAGGTTGAACCTGAACTGAGGCTGTGACTGTGACACAATTAATCAAACTCTTGAAGCATCGTGGTACATTATGTGCTTCAAGCATTGATCCACTTCACTGAAAGTTGGCCTGAAGCACAGCCTAGAGGGAGATACTGGATCCATGAGTAATGGCCAGGATGCTGTCGATGGCTTTGCGTCTCCGTGTGATATGTGGCCCTGCAGCTGACCAGCCCACAATGCAAGACAAATTCTAACACATCAGAGAGAACGTCACCAGTCCCCACCTTGCCCCAAATTGCTGGGAATGAAAATTAGAGAAGAGAGTGCCAAATTATAATGTGTTCCTCAAACCTGCTGCCACTGCACCAAGATCATAATGACACCCTTCCCCCACAAGCGTCCCAGGCTCCCGCCCAAGGTGTTCTTAAATTGATTACAGAAAATTGATCATCATCCCTGGCACCATCAACTCTTCCCCATGGAGGCATATTTTGGGGGTCCTCTCTAAATCTAAGTTGTATAGGACCAAATGCATCCCCTTTTTGGCCCTATAGGTACATCATTCCTGTCAAGTCAGTAACAGTATCTAGCATCTCTGTGTAGTACTTCCTAGTTAGACAAACACAAGTCCCTGGACTAATTTGAGCACTACAACAGCCCCATGAGGTTAGTAGGTGAGCCAGGATTTATGATCCCCATTTTATAGACCAGGCAACTTGCTGGGGAAATGATACGAGTTGCCATGGCCAAGAAACTCATGATAGAACCAGGACACCTGGTTTTAGAACTCAGATCTTGTGGCTTCCAGGCAACATGGGAACCCACAGAGGAAATCAGATCTTGTGCTGGCCCCAGGCAAAAGCACAGTGTAGGCAAAGCTCCTCTGAGGCCTTTCCTCAAGCCCTTGGCCAGCCTTTCCCACCTCCCCTCTAGGCGTCCCTCCCACCCTGCGCTCTCCCACTGTGTCAGCCCTCACTTTCACTAGCATCTCCAAGTCCGGAAGTCTCTCTGTGCTCCCCTCTCCCCTTGAAGCTGCCCTGGTCTTAGCTGGCCCAGTGGAAAAACAGATGTGCCCTCAAAGTCCAACTTGCCCTTGAGACTTAGCTGCCTGACCTTGGGCAAGTTACATTAGGCTTTTGAGTTCCCTCCTCTGTAGAATGGATTGTTACTGGAACCTACTACTTGGGGCTGTAAGGAAGATTGCATGAGTCATGTACATAAAGCACTCCGGATCATGTCTGGTATTTCTGGCATTTATTAGGCACTCCAAAAGGGCAGTTGTTTTAAAAATCATTTATATTTATATTTAGTTATTAAGTATAGTAGGTATAATAGCTAGCACTTTTCAAGACCTACTATGCCATGCTATATATTGGCGTTGTTCTTAGTACTTTTCATGTATTCTTCCATTGATTTCTCATGACAACCCTATGAAGCAGGTACTATATTATTATCCCACCTTACAGATGATGAAACTGAGACATAGAAAGGTTAAATAGAGCCAGAAAGAGATAGAACCTGAATCTGGCCTGAGTGGCTTAGCTCCAGAACCAGCACTCTTAGTTCAGGTACTAGCTCCAGGTGGAGGGGGGTGAGAGTGGATAACAAACACTTAACACTGCTTCTTGCCATTTGTAGCTTAAGTATACAGCACCGTGGGCAGGAGTGAATCCATGATGGTGAACTCTCCGCCATTATAGCAAAGAGGACAGACAGTGAGTAGGAATGAGGGCTGCTAAAATTATACCATGAAGATATTCTTTTTAACTGAAGGAAGGACTCACAAGAAAATGTTAACAGTGGTAGGTTTTGTGGAGCAAGGACTAAGCTCAGGTGAACATAACAGGGTTTTTAATTTTTTTTTCATGCCATACTCTTCTGTATTACTTGAATTTTCAAATACAATGCTGCAAATTGGTTTTGTTTTAATAGCAATTAGGATTTATCCAAACAACAAAAGTATTGTTTTTATTTTGTTATTTTCTTCCTTAAATACTTCATATTTTTAAATGAATGAATGTAATGTTTAAAAATTATACTGCAAAAACAACCACATGCTCCATTCCAACATTACGCCCTCAAGCTGTTGATAGTCTCAGCATGGAGATAAGACAGAGCTCATGAAAGAATCGCAGCGCCCAGAAAAATGGGTTATAATTAAGTGCCGAGAATGCAAAGCCATCTCTTGAGACTGTAGGAGTACAGCTCTCTTCCCAAACATGGTATTTTCCCTGATGTTGTTTTTTTTTCTCCACCAGAAATTTTCCACTTTAATTATGTGGGTTAGGTTAGAGGGGTTCACCTTCAGAATTTTAAATGGGCAAACAGCTAACCCCTTCTGTAAGACACATTTCTGGGAAAGCCCAGACATAAATGTTTACAGCCTGTGCTGGGAGAATAGGACCCAATGAAATTCGCAGTGATTTAAGCATTATGTGCCCGTGCCCAAAGAAATAATCTTGAGCTCCTACATTCTGGAATCCCGGCCTTCATTCTCACACAGAGTAGAATCGCTGGCAGCACTCGTAGGTTAGATTTTTTCCCCCCTTTTCCTGGTTTTGCCTTCAACATGAGGAGGATGGTAATTAAAACCATACTTAAAATATTAAGTCTACTACCTAAAGGAATGGAGTTTATTAAAGTTGCTAAGCATTAAGTACAGAAACTCAAAATAGCTTCAGCACACTCCCCTCAGCATATACCCAAAATATTGGTTGAGAGGAGCCCAGGCATAGAGATGGCAAAATACACACGCACTCACACACACGCGCACACATGCACATCAATATATTGATATATCAATAAAGGGAATGCATTTCGTAAGTAACTCGCATTCAACAAGCAGAGAGCAAAGATGACTCCCTAATTAAGGTGCTTAGAAGGGCCAGTTATTCAGGAAAATGATGACATGATCTCATAAAGGCACAGAGAAAATAGGGACCGATACTAGATACCACTTAACATCTCTGAGGCTGTTTCCTCAGTCATCACATGGGGTCAGTGATATCCCCTTTGGAAGGATGTGGAAAAGGTGTAAAGAGATGCCTAGCACGACGCCCAGTACAAAGTAAGGAGGTACTTGGTGTAAGGTCCCTTCTTCCTAGGGGATCCCGTGGTGGTTCAGGTGGGACCTTATCCACAGGGCTGGATGGAATCTACACCTCAGTCTAGATAAATTCTAGCTCTGGTCACAGAGCATTCAGTTACCATCTGTCTCTTCCATGCCTAAGGACATAAGGAAAGGGCAGCTGGTGTCGTGGCTAAACACTCAGTCCCAGGTACAAATACCAGCCTTGGACCCAGGACAACTCACATCACCTTCCTGAGGTTCATTGTGAAGAATGAGTGTGATCCTGAACGACAGGAGCTGAGCACACAGCAGGTTCTCGGATGTTCTGGGCTGCCCCACTGTCCAGGGGCTCCTCTCACACCCGCACAGCTGCCCAGATCCCCTGCTGGCTGGACGTGAGGCTGAAGGCACCTGTCGGCAGGACCTAGACCCACCGAGCGAGCCCGCCAGCTCGATGAGAGCTGCTGCTGCTCCTTACACCCTGCCCACTTGCTTGGCCTGGGAGCCCTTCTGTTTAGTGCTTTCTAGAGATTTGGCTCCGTCCAAGAGTATCTTGAAAAGCAGTGTGGACAAGATGTGATTTCCTTATATGTTTGTTGTCCAAGTTCCTTAAAGAATTCCTTTGGGAAGTTTGTGGAGCACCCTGCCTAGTGGTTAGTTGCTGCTCAATAAATGTTCACCAATTATTGAGCTGCTACTAGGGGCCAGGCACTGTACTCCAAGAAAAGCTTAACTGTGTTAGTCCATTTTAACTCCACAAGCGGGAGAGAAGCACTAAAGTTTAATAGAAAAGAGATCAGACTTTGGAATCGTAATTTGAAGTAGCACCCCCCCATCCTTCATTCTAGCTGGGCAACCTATGAAAAAGTGTTTAAATTCTCTGAGCCTCAGTTTCCTAATCTATAAAATAGATAAAATATATACCTCCTAGGGTTGCTGTGAAGATTAAAATAGATAAATAGATAGATACATAGATAGATAATATATATGTATATATGTGTGTATACACATATATGCTGCATATGTATATATACATATGTGTATATAATTACACAGCACAGTGTCTAGTGTCTAAAACCTAGAATACAAGTATGATGTTAAGAAAATGAAAAAAATATTATAACAACCCAGTGAGGAGGGTGTTATTATCCCCACTTTGTAGATGAGAAATTCCTCAGAACAACACCCCCTGACAGAAATCCATTCAGCCTCTTCCATTGATAAGGAGTTCCCTTGTGCATATCACAAATGTGTAGGGAATTAATCTGGAGCTTTAGAAATACCCAGATTTGGGAGAACCAGTGGCGAAGGACATTCCAGACAGGCTCAAACCCTTCAGAGGCTGAGGGCTGGGGGGATAGTAAAAGATCAAAACAAATACTAGACACGTTTTCGTCTTCTCCCCTATAGAGTGCTTGAGTATAAGTCTGTTGTTGAATTTATTCCCAGGTCTATACCAAGAGACTTGTTATTTATTAAGCACCTAAGCTGAGGAGTAGAAAATGGTTAAGGAAAAGTGCTCTGAAGTGGACTGCTCGGGTTTGAATTCCTGCTTATCATTTACAAGCTGTGTGGCCATGGGAAAGTCTTTTAACTTCTCTGAGTTTTGAGTTCTACATTTGTAAAATGAGGCTGGTAATGGATCCTTTGCAGGGCTACTTTGAGAATTACACAAGTTAATATATGCAGAGCCTGTGTCATGCCTACAGACGTTGTAAGCATTCAACACATCATAATTTTTATTGTTGCTGCTGTTTTTGTGTGGCTTATATACATAATACAAGATCTGTGTAGATTAAGCAATGGATCACATCACCTAACTACTAGCAACTGGTAGACATAGGACTCTAAACCTGATCTCCCTGTATCAGTCAGAAAAGGTTATGTTATGCTGGGTAACAAACAAGCCCAACAGTTCAGTAATGTGACACAATAGAAAGTGATTCCTGACTCACACAAAATCCATTGCAGTTCTGGACAACTATCCATGTGTTAACAATTCAGATAGTTTTGCTCTTATCCATATCAACGCAAGCACCTATGATCACAGTTGCAAGCTGAGAGCAGGAAAATTGGGCACAAGGAATTAAATGCTTCCACCCAGAAGGGACACGCCTCTTCTACTCACGTTTCATTAGCCGAAACAAGTTACATAGTTATACCTCATTCAAGAAAGAGAATTGCAATCCTTCTGCATGCATTGAAGTTCAGGAAAATAAGCTGGCAGTGAACACCATACCCTCCCCCCAAAGTCAATCTCTTAATGACCCTATATTGTACTGTTCTGCCTCTCCCTGCAATCGGACCAACTCTTGATCAACTTTTCCTTACTGCGTCAGTTAGTTTCAACACCCCTTACTTAAATTCAGAGAAAAGCATCAGGGCTTTACATGAACTAATTAATTAGCAACTGTTTCACAAATTCCAGCCTGGCTCTTGTCCTTTCCCTGCCTGTCAGCAGCGCTCCATGGTCAGTGTCCCCCGTCAGCTCAGCCAAGACCAAGGCCACCCATCCTTCCATCCCGGAGCTCTCCTCTGTCTGCCCGCCCACCCATCCCCAGGGCCCTGCCATCTTGCCTGTCGATGCCAGCTCACACTTGATGTCTCAGTTCCAGACCAGAGGTGCTCTAGCTGCTACCTGGGAAGGCTCTGGCCCCCAAAAATATTTAGTTAGCAGCCATTCAGTTAAGTGGAATTGACTTTTTATCGGCTCTCCTCTGCACGGCTGCCACCAGCGAAGGCTGTTTCCTCCTTCTCTCTTCTCTGCCTGTCAGTTCACTCCACATTCCTATCGGCAGCCTTTAGCTCTGATCAATACTAACCGCTGTGTAACAGCTCACGCACGGCTGCTCTGGTTTGCATCGATCAGACCCTTCTTCCAACAGGTAGTCAGCTATTTGAGGCAATGACTTGAGATAAACACCTACTTTTACTTCAGGCTAATTCATTTCAGGTGGGTTTCAAGGAGGCTCTGCACCCCGTCCCTGTTAGACAAGCTGAAATCATAGAGTCAAGATCAACTCCTCGTGCGCTCGAGATCCTAGGAGACTTTTCTTCCTCATCTCCTTTTTTCCCCCCTTCCCTTGTATGTTGTAAGTGCCACTTACAAACAAGATACCAAGACTTGGGACATTGAAAATGCCACTTCAGAAAATATGTCAGCCAGCTGTCCATCCCTCTTTCCTTTTAATGAGATGCATCCGGGACTGCAGGAAACTAAGGGCTGCTGTGGAGGCAGCACTGTCGCCGGGCAACCAAGCATCCTTCCAGCTTCCCCAGAACTAATCTGACAATATCCCACAAGCCTGGTTCTCTCACCGCCTCAGGGGGCAGCCCTTGAATCCACCCTCATCCTTGTTCCAGGCTCACACGTGAATTTGCCAGGAGCTGAGAGGGCAAAACCAGTTGCTATTTTGCAACTGAATGGGGGCTGGTACAACTTCATGACATTTGTGTGATAACCAGAAAACACACAAAACTGGGTGATATAGGCTGTTTTTTTTTCTCCCAGCATGTACACCAAGTGTAGCTGAATGGTGCATCTGATACCATCATGACCCTGTCACCTAGGCCCCAAAACCCCTGTCCTTTTTACCTTTCTCCAGCCCTTCTTGATACACCCACCTCATTCAGTCCCCAAGTCCTATTGAGCCTCCCCTTGCAGTGCAATCTTAGTGTCCCCCACCCTCCCTCTCAGTTGCTAGCATCCTCATGCAAGCCCTCGTCTCCTGGTGCTTGGACCTCTGCAGTATCCTCTAGCTGGTTCCTGGGTGTTCAGTTGTTCCCTGCTTTGTTAATTTTGCCCTGCATGCAGATTAAGCTTCCTGGTGCTCTGCTGTGGTTGCCTTGCTCTTCTCAGAAACCCTCAGCAGCTTGCCGTCGCCTACCAGAATGGAAGCCAAGTTCCTCAGCCTATCATTCTGGCTTTCAGAGGTCTGATCCTTAGAGCTCTCTCCAGACTGTCTCTCACTGTCCTCCAGCAGAAACCCCACACTCTGGTCCGTCCGGATGACTCCTTAGTTCCTCTGCAAGAGCTCACTAGCTACATGCCTGAAAAACGAATATCACGCCTCGCACCAATTTGAAATTGGTTCAAATCCTGGCTCCACTACTTATTAGCTTTGTGACCTCAGTGGCGTATCTAACCTCTCTGCCTCAATTTCTCCTCTGTTGAATAGGGATGATAATAATAGTACCTCGTCCATAAAATGGTGATGAGGATTAAATAAATGAATGTGTGTAAGGCATTCCAAGTGGCACCTGCACATAGTAAATTCCATGTAAATGTTCCCTCTTATCATTATTATTTTCTCCTTCCCTCCAAGCCGCCACCCAAACCATACCTCTCCAAGAACATTCTCCAGGTCACCCTGGCGAAAAATACTCATTTCCTTTACTGCCACTCATAGTTGTAGTTTATACTGATAAAGTACTAATAGTGAGTGGTTGTTAGGTACAAGCCCAGTGCTTTTGATGCATTGTTGCTTTTCCATCCTTAGGATGGATACCTCTTACTTCCCTAGATCCAGCCTCCCTCCTTCTCCATCTTGCTTTTTGCCGTAGAAGGCTGATCTGTATGTCCAGTGGTTTCCAGCTGGATTTGGCCAACAAGGAATGCTGGCAAGAAACGTGCAGGAGGAAGAAGTGGAGGTCGGAGTTTTTATTTCTCCAGCTCCTTCCCAGCTGAGTCACTGCAAAACAGCTTCATCTCTCACCCCAAGGTCATAGCTCCTTTCCGTGCCTGTCCTGGCCCAGTCTGCTCTGTGTCCAGCTTCTGGTCAGATGCCCTCTCCTTGCCTCTTCACACCTGGGGTAGTAATATGGCCCCAGGGCATTGCACTGTCCCTTGTGGTTCCCAGAACGCTGATCACACCTTTGTAAATATTGTTATCTCTGTATAAACTCTCCCTAAAGTATCCTAATTCCCATGTGCTACCCTGGCTGACACAGTTCTCATTACAACCCTACCAAGGAGGTCCTGTCACTGTTACCGAGGATGCCCAAGACCATATCTAGCAAGTGACGTACTCCTAAGCCTGTACTCTGAATCACTCCTATCATATTAAGGTGTAAGATGGCTATTTCTCTGTGGATTTCCACACCTCTTTGTCAGAATGTTAGTTTGCTTTTGCCACATTAAAAAAAAAACACCCCAAATCCTAGAGGCTCAAAGCAACAATCATTCTTTAGCTCACCACTCTGGGGGGGCGGCAGTTTGGTCTGGGCTCAGCTGGGAAGTTCTCATGCTGGAGTCACCCGATTTGCTAGTGTGGCTGTAGTCAGCTGGAAGATTTTCTGAGGCCTGGTGGCCTGGATGGTGTCACATACGTGTCAACCACAAGGGTGACCAGGCCATGTGTCTCCAGTATCTAGCAAGCTAACCTAGACTTCTCCAGGTGGGGCTGGATTCCAACAAGAGCAAAAGAGAGCAAACTCCCGTTTGCAAGCACTTTTCAAGCCTCTGCTTACATCGGGTTGGCTAACGTCCCACGAGTATAATCCAGAGTCCAGGGCTGGCAAAATCCACTCCGCCTCTTGGTAGGAGGATCTGCACTAATACTGCTGCCAATTTTTTTTTTCAATCTATCACATGGGACACTCCTTTCTAGAAAGATCTATGCCTTGACAACTTTATATCCTGTATCCTCATAACCCGAGTCAGAAAAGCAATGTGGTCAGGTCCTATGTTTTAGGGGGTGGGGAGTATCCGCTTTACAGCGTGGTGAACATCTGACACTCTTCCTGCCTGTTACCACCAGACTGAAAATAATTCTGAAAGGGAAGTCTCTTAAAACTTGAGCATGAGGGAGTGGAATTTTTTTTAATTAGGCTTCAGCAGAATTTTTAAAAGAATCTTTCTTTCTTCAGTTGCCTCTCCCTTGTTATAAATTGTAACTCCACCCAGTGGCATACCACAGCCAGCCCCGCTGCTGCTTCCCAGCCTTCCTCCACACGCCACTGTTTGCTTGGCAGCGGCGCTCAGCGCACATTGCGCAGAAGCCAAAGGAGAGGTCTTGCTTCCTCCTCTGCTCACTTCCTCCTTTCTTTCCTCTACTCCCCCTGGAGCTCGTCCTTGACGGCTTACTGCTGCCCTGCACCCACCAGTTCCCCTCCTTGCAGCAGGATTCTAGGAAGAGCTGGAAGGTTTGCTGAAAAGGCTGCCCTGTATAGACGCCCAGGTTGGGCACTGCACACAGAGGCCTAGAGATTTAGCCAGAAGACCAGGCCTCCAGGAAGCCCTACAACAGAATATTAAAAAGTAGTCGTACGTGAAATTATACTTAAAAATACCTGTGAGATTATGAACTTGATGTGGCTTGCCATTCATTTATTTCACAAGTATTTATTGTGCCGGGAACTGTGCAGCCCCTGGAAATATAAAACACAGTTCCTGCCCTTGAGAAACTTGTAGTCTGGGACCAGGAGGGAGACAGACACATGAAGAGATCATGTCAATTTATGCCATAGTGCTGTGTAAGAGGGTGTCATGAGAAGATGGGGGGGGGGGCTACTGTGCCTAGTATAATGATTGGGAAGGCTTTCTCAGACAGATGATGTTGGATAAGGTCTAGTCCAGTGCTGTCCAGTAAGAATATACTATGAGCCACATATGTAATTTAAAATTCTCCAGTAGCCACGTTAAAGAAACAAACAGGAGAAAATAATCCTACCCATTCAACCCATTATATCCAAGATACTACCGTTTCACTACACCAAAATATGAAAATTATTACTGTGATATTTTATATTTTTTTAATTGTACTAAGTTTTTGAAATCCAGTGTGTATTTTATACTTACAGCACATCTCAATGTGGACACCAAATTTTCAAGTTGAAGTAAAATATAGTCACATCAAAGGAATAAAGTTGTGTTTAATGGAAACATTTTTTATACTGCTTCAGTTAAAATTTTAAAATTTAAATGAAATTAAATGAAATGAAAAATTCAGTTCCTCATTTCTGCTAGCCACAATTTCAAGTGATCAGTAGCTATGCATCGCCAGTGGCTATCATATTGGAGAACACAGGTCGAAAAAGATTAATAGGTGTGAAGCAGAGACAGTAGAGAAGATAGGGCACTCTTGGTAGGAAAAAGGAAGGAAGGAAGGAAGGGAGGAAGGAAGGAAAGAAGGAAGGAAGGAAGGAAGGAAGGAAGGAAGGAAGGAAGGAAGGAAGGAAGGAAGGAAAGAAAGAAACTAGTGTGAGCAGAGGCACATAAAATGGTCTGGGGTTTGGAACTCTACATAGTGTAATATTACCATGACATAGTGGTCAAGACTAGTAATGGAAAATGAGCCAGAAGTGGAGGGATAGGCAAGAGACCGCCGTAATGAGCCTTGTGCGCCAAAAGAATGGAGAATCATGCATTTCCTAAGTACGTACTTAATATGGGGGAAATTAAGCACAGAAGGAAGTCTCTCACTGGGACCACTAAACCCTAATGTGAAAGAATCCACCCTCCTGGTGGCCTGGGACAGAGGCTCAGCAAGTCCACATCTGAGAGGAAAGTTTGGCAAAGCAAAGTTCAAGGTAGATGAAGTGTATAGTTTCTATGATGTAAGTAATAGAAATCAACTCAAATAGATATCAACAAGCAGGCTTACTGGCTCACAGGGGCCGTCCAGAGGTAAGGCAGGCCATGTGGCCGTGTGGTTCAAGTGCTCGAGAGAATAATGAAGGGCCCAGAGCCCTTCTTCTC